TGTATTCATTGGTTGATTCGTGTATGTGCCCTGAATGGAGATCAGACCCACAAACTGCATATCGGGACGACACTCTATAACCAATTGAGCTACCTGGCCAGGGCTATAAAACACTTCTTATTCAATGATACAGTTAGTTGATATCCCTTTGGGGGCTTTAAAACTTCTCAATTAGACTGTTTATCATTCTATATTTTCCCAAGGAAATATGAAGTTTTTAAAATAAGGTATATTTTACAAAGTGCTTGGAACATAGAAAACATTCAACCAATGAGGAATGAATGTAGAATAATCATCAAGATTATTTTAGGTACATGCACAATGCCATTATTTTTAATTACCAAAAAACCCCAAACACCATTAGAATCCAAACTATAGAAATGTCATCTGGAAAGACAGAGAGCAGGTAAAGATCAGAGAAGATATATTAGCCCCAAACAACATAGTGTGGTGGTATTACAGTGAACATTTAAGTGTTTGTGATGAGATTCACATTTGTGTCTTTTACATTTGTATTGTGCTTTATGACTGTCAGTGTTTTTTCAAACATGGAAGAATAAAAGATCTTTAAAGGATGTCAGCTGATAGATACTATTACTTACTCTGTAGTTTTGTAAACATCAGAATACAGCCCTGCTTTCTGATACTTCTTCTTTGGGGGGCGTGGGACCTTCTTTTCTCTTGGGATGAGAGAAAGCACGGGTTGCAAGGTGCTTTCAGGTTCAAGAGGTTTGGCTGGGGTTTCAGGAGGACTGGGAATCTCAACTGCTGCTTCAGTAAAGCTATAAAAAGAAGTTTAAAGATAGTTTTATGGTGAAAAAATACTTTCCTACAAATGATTTTCTATTTTAAAAAACATAACAGCAATTTAAAAAAGGAGATATGGAGTCTTTCTCATCTGGCCATGCTAGAATAACAGATACCACACTTGTTCTCCTGACAGAAACTAATAGAAATACAGTAAAGTACTATAAACCTGGATAATGTTTATGAAACAACCATCAGACAACAGTTAGTGCAGCACTGTGATCCCTGAGAAAAACTGGAAACACCCACATACAACAATAAACAAAATAAAAAACGAGAGAGAGAGAGAGACAGAGACACACACACACACACACACACACACAGAGAAGTCCTATAACCACTTTCCCTTTATGAGAACTTTGGTAGAGGAAGTAGAACCAGTTGAAAAGAGAGCAATCAGAGTATTGAGAGGCTGAGGTGGCTGGAAATCATGGGGGAGAATACTGAAGTGAAGAAAGTTACAGAGAAAAATAACTCTAGAAATCTGTGTATGGATCTCCTTTAGTATACTGCTGAATACTAAGTTGTGCATGTGCAGGGTGAAATTCTCTAAGGCTAGTCAAAGAACTACCAGAATACTATAACCTGAATAATTCCCAGAGCTCATACATCATGGTAAATACTCAGATTTCACTAGGCAGAGTAGAAAGACATTGCCCAATACCAGGGACATTCAACAGAGATCCCAGAGGGTAATATTACCCATTTTTGTAGGGCTTAACTATCTCTGGACTAAAGCCAGGTCCTAATAGAGTTTAAAAACAACCTTCAAAAGAATCCAAGCTGATCTACAAGTCACTTAATTGCCTATCAAAATAAATTAAATAATATGAAAAGAACAAAAACAAGACATAATAATGTGATATTCACAAAGTAAAAAATTTCATAATGAAAAAAAATTTTGAGTACTGGTCAAAATTTTTTCAAATTTGATAAAAATTATAAAGCCAAAGTTCCAAGACACTAAACAAACCATAAGAAATATAAACTCGCCCTAGCTGGTTTGGCTTAGTGGATAGAGCATTGGACTGGGAACTGGAGGGTCCTGGGTTCAATTCCAGTCAAGGGCACATGCTCGGGTTGTGGGCTCGATCCCCAGTAGGGGGCGTGCGGGAGGCAGCCGATCGATGATACTCTCTCATCATTGATGTTTCTATCTCTCTCCTTCTCTGAAAGCAATAAAAATATATTTTAAAAAAAGAAATATAAACTTAAATAAGTAAAGCATAACATAATAAACTTGCTGAAAATTATTGAATAAAAAGGGGCCAGAGAAAAAAATACATGATATATACAGGAGTACAAAAATAAGAATGAGTGCAGCTTTCATGTATGAAACAATGCAAGTCAGAAGGCAATGAAATAATATCTATAGTGCTGAAAAGGAGGGGAGTGGGAAATGCCTCTGAATTCATTAAGAATTCTAAAGAAATAGAAAAAAAAACTTTAAAAATTAAGGTGATTCCAGTTCCAGGCAAAGATGGAATAGACACTTCTATCAATCCTTCCACTAAGAACAATTAAAAATCCTGGAAATTTCATATCAAATAAACATAAGCAAACAGATTGCATATAGACTTTGGGACCTAAAGCAATGACATGGCAGGGAATTTCCTAGATTTCTTTTTCGCTTTGTATTTAATGGTGAAAGACAATACAATTTACCTAATATCAAGGACAATGCAAATGCATAGTTTCACCACTTATATTCAACATCATAGTAAAGGTCACAGCCTGTGCAAAAATGGGAAAAAAAGAAAAAAACTCTTGAAGTGGAAGTCCTCCAAATTTCTTCTTTTTCAAGATTGTATTGGCTACTTGGGATCCCTTGAAATTCCTTATAAATTTTAGAATGGATTTTTCTATTCCTGCAAAATACATCATTGAAATTTTGATAGGAATTGCACTGAATCAGCAGATGGCCCTGGGTGGTACTGATATTTTACAAACATTAAATTTTCTAACCCATGAACACAGGCTATCTTTCCATTTACTTATTTCTTTAATTTTGTTCAACAATGTTTTGTAAATTTTCAGTTAAAGTCTTTTGCCTTGAAATTACCTAACTAGAGAGAAACCAAGATGGCATAGGTAAACACCAGAAATTGCTGTCTCACACAACCCCTTCAAAAATACAACTAAAAGACAAAACAGACATCATCCCGAACCACAGGAAGGCTGACCGAGTGGAAATTCTACAACTAGAAGGTAAGAGAAAAGCACACTGAGACTCAGAGGAGGTGCGGAAGTAAAGTGCAGAGGTACGGTGGCGCACATGGAAAGGGCTGGCAACTGAGGACACAGCTGTCTTCTTCAATCGGGAGGGAGACAAAAGCTCCCAACATCTCTGAACTCCAGTTCAGCGCGAGTCTCTGGGGACCCAGACTCATATGGGGAGAAACTGGACTGTCTGACATCGGTCGGTACTCGAGGGCGGCTTTCTCTAAGAGGTGCTTGCAGCAATTACCGGGACACTGAGACATGGGGCCTCTTAGGGTAGGACTGAGGAGCAGCCATAGCTGCTTGCTCCGCCCTGTTGTTCCCCTGAGACCCTGCCCCACCCAAGCTGTGCGCAGAGGCTTTTGCATATGAAAAGCCTGGCCATTTGCAATCTGAAAATTACCTAACAAACTGCAGCTAGGTCAGAGATACCCAGAACTTCCAAAAGAAGGCCCAAGGACCCACAGCAGCTTGCACTGCTTCACAGCTGGGCCTCATCTGGGTACCTCCAAACCCCAAACAAAGAAGAGGAATCTGCAGATCTCTCCATAGCTCCTGCTGGGTAGTCTCAGGCAGAGGCTAAATTAGCACCTCCATAGAGATCTAAGAGCCAGTGTACCCAGTGGTCAGAGTGGGACCATCCAGATTACAATTCCTCAGATCCATAAGGGACACACTCAGGGGGCAGACTCAGTGAGCACCAAAGCCCCACTGAAGCAAGTCTTGCCCCAGAAGGGTGTCTCCAGCACAGAAGTTCTCCCACTGCAGACACAGCTGATTCTCACAGCCAATTGGCCTGGAGGTCAATTCCTCCCAGTGATACCTACAACAATCAAGACTTAACTACAACAAGACTGTGCACAAAGCCCACAAGGTGGTGCACCAAGAGTGTCCACCTCAGGTAATTGGGGAGGCTGAGTCACTGGGCCCTATAGGACACCTAGCACAGAAAGCCACTCTATCAACACAGGGAAGCATAAAAAAATGCAGAGACAAAGAAACAAGTTACAAATGACAGAAATGGAGGAAAGCAAACTACTGGATGTAGAGTTCAAAACCACACTTATAAGGTTTTTCAAGAATTTTCTAGAAACCGCCGAAAAATGTAATAAGACCCTCAATAAGTCTAGTGAAACCGCCGATAAATTTAGTGAGACCCTCAAGAAATCTAATGAGTTGTATGAATGCATATAAGCATAACCAATGGACATAAGACACTGGGGGATAGGGGAGGCCAGGGGATTGTCAAGGGCGGGGGGAAAAAAAGGACACATATGTAATACCCTTTGTAATACTTTAAGCAATAAAAAAAAAAAAAATCTAATGAGACCCTCGAGGTTATGAAAAAGGACCAACTAGAAATTAAGCATACACTGACTGAAATAAAGAATATTATACGAAGTTCCAACAGCAGACTAAAGGATTGCAAGAATCAAGTCAAAGATCTGATATACGAAGAAGCAAAAAACACCCAACCGGAAAAGCAAAAAGAAAAAAGAATCCAAAACTATGAAGAGAGTGTAAGGAGCCTCTGGGACAACTTTAAGCATACCAACATCCAAATTATGGGGATGCCAGAAGAAGAGAAAGAGCAAGATATTGAAAACCTATTTGAAGAAATAATGTCAGAAACTTCCCCTACCTGGTGAAAGATATTTTAAAAACTTATTTTAAAGATATTTTAAAGTCTTCCCCTACCTGGGGGTGGGGGAAGAGAGTGAACAAAAATTGTACAGCTATGGATGAGGATAGTGGAGGAGGGGGGTAAGGGCAGAGGGTGGGGTGGGAACCGGGTGGAAGGGAGCTATGGGGGGAAAAAAGAGGAACAACTGTAATAATCTGAACAATAAAGATTTAATTAAAAAAATAAATAAAGTCTTTTGCCTTCCTGGGTAAGTTTATTCTTAACTATTATACTCTTTTTTATGTTACTGTAAATGGAACTGTGTTTTTTTTTTTTTTCCTTTAAAATAAAAAATATGGAACACTTCACAAATTTGCATGTCATCTTTGCATAGGGTCCATGCAAATCTTCTTTGTATTGTTCCAATTTTAGTATATATGCTGCTGAAGCAAGCACTTGAACTGTTTTAATTTCCTCTTTGGAAAGTAGTGTATAGAAATGCAATTGATTTTTGTATGGTGATTTTGCATTCTGAACTTTACTTAGTTTAGTAAGCTTTAACAGGTGTTGTGTGTATGTTTATGTGTGTGTGTGTGTGTGTGTGTGTGTGTGTAATCCTCAGGGTTTTCCAAATATAAGACGTGGCATCTGGGCCCTGCTGGGTGACTAAGTTGGTTGGAATGTTGCAAGGTGCTAGGTTAGAATTTCCAGTCAGGGCATATACAGTGGGCAACCAATTGATGTTTCTCTCTCTTCCTCTTTCCTAAAAACAAACAAATAAATCTATATATATAAAAGGCTAAGTGACCAACCATAAGTCCATCCCATCGGCACATATGACGCGCACTGGCAATATTTAAAAATAAACGTTGACTCGCGCATTTGCGATACATATAAAGCTCTCGCTGGTGCCAATCGCACCTGTGTGTTTCTTGAAGCTGAAGTATTAACAGGATCTGTGGAAGGAGAAGTTCTGATTCCAAGAATTGATTTGTCCCCCGTCTGACACTGGCCTCCCATTTAAATTAATTCAAAGACAGTTTCCCGTGATGCCAGCATTTGCGATGACTGTTAATAAATCACAAGGACAAACTCTAGACAGAGTAAGAATATTCATACTTGAACCCGTTTTTCAGACATGGTTAGTTACATGTTGCTTTCTCTTGAGTTTGAAGGGCTTGTGACATTAAAGTTAAAGTTGCAAATACTTCATCACAAGGGAAATTAATCAAGCACTCTCAAAGTGTTTTTATTCTTAATGTGGTTACAGGGAGATATTAGAATAAGTTTAATCAATTTATCAGTCATTGTTTTTATATCATGTTTTTGTTGCTTTTATATCATATTGTTTTTATATATCTTTGTTGTTTATTTACTAATCAATTTATATATAATTTTCATATACATTTTACTAATTTTCTTTCATTTTTGACACTTCTATTATATAGAAAGGGTGAATAGTGATATTAAAATATTTCTTCTAATTAATTTCTTTTCAATGTGCATGAATCCCTGCACTGGGCCACTAGAAAATAAAATTAAATAAATAATGAAATGAAATAAAATAAAAAAGAAAATAAAAACCATATCCTTGGGTGAAGATTACAAAAATAAAAAAAGACATGGCCTCTGGGAATAGACCAAATTTTACTTTTTCCTTCAAAATTTAGATGCCTTTTACTTCTTTTTCTTATCTAATTGCTCTGGTTAGGAATTTCATACTGTGTTGAACTGAAGTGGCAAAAGTGGGCAACCTTTCTTCATCCCTGATGTTAGGGAGAAGCTTTCAGTCTTTTACCATTGCGTTTGTTAGCCATGAGGTTTTATAGATGGTCTTTATTAAGTTGAGGTAGTTTCTTTCTATTCCTGGATTACTCAGAGTTTTTATCATGTCTTTGTGAAATTCATTTTTTTCATTTATTGATAGGATCATAAGATTTTTATTTGTTAGCCTACTGATGTACTGGATTGCATGAATTGATTTCTGCATATTGAACAAGTCTTACATAACTTACTTGATCACAGTATCTATTTACTATTTATTTACTTAATAATTTTTTTTTCTGTTCTGACCCAATTCATTTCTACTTCTGTGCCTTATTTATGTTTCTTTCTCCTGCAATTAAAAAAAAAATGCTTTCTGCTTATCTCCTACATATATAAATTCATTAATGGCTATGTTTTTTCCAAGTGCCACCTATAGAACATATACATCAGAATCACCTTGGGGGCTTATAAGAAAAACAAATGCCCACTCATACAATTTTAAAATTCTATACTGAGGTCTGGGATAAACACCTTCCTAACCTTGCTGGTCCCTGACACTCCAAAGTAGGCACTCATTGATAAGAGCATCCGTTTAAAAAACAAACAAACAACAGCACCCTTTTCATCCTACTCAGGCTCTGACATTAGGGCCTGGATTGATACTCTTTCCCCGCCAGGCCCTAACCCACCCAACTCCCTCACCCCATTAAGGCTCCAAAACTCAGCTCAGGGTCACCTTGCCATACCCCAATAAGGCCATCTACCTAATGGCTTTAAGACATTTTTCAGGAAAGAAGAGAAAGAGGAGAGGTATGGCATTTTAATAGATGGTTTATGATATATTTATCTACAACAATACAATACCTTTATTTTGTTTTTAAAAATAAAAATAGTATTAACTACTGTGTCATTTTTAGGGATTTGTTTCTTTCATTTAATATTATGTTTCCAAGACTCATCTGCAATTATTGCATCTGTAATTCATGAATTTTTACTATCATATCACATTCCAACTGTGTAAAAAAGAATATACTATTTCCTTTTCTGTTAATCTGCGATATTTCTATTTTATTATACATTATAACCAATCTTGCTACTACATTTTCAAAAAGTGTTTTCTGGTGCCTGTTGTGCAAGAGTTTTTTTTATTATCTAAAAGGGAATTGCTAGATTATATAGTGTTGATTTGTAACTATTTTTTTGGTTATATATTCTGGATACAAAAGAGGTATACATTACATGTGTTATAAATTTCCTCTCCCAGTTTGTAGCAGGTCTTTATATTTTTGTCATGCTATTTGATGAACAGAAATTCTTAGTTATAATATAATCCAGTTTATCAATTTTTACCTGTATGGTTACTGTTATTGCTTTTGATATCCTGTTTATGAAATCCTTTCTGAGAACAAGGTCATGAAGTTTTTCTTCTTCCATACTAGCCTTTAAAAGTTTAAAGTTTTGCTTTTATATTTATGTATTTAATCAATTGGGAATTTTTCTAATTTCATTTAAGACAAAAATCTAATTTTATTTCCATTCTTACACAATACCAGCTTCTGGGACACAATGTATTGAATATTGTTTTTTTTCCCCATGTGTCAACTCTGTCATATAGCAAGCTTGCATACATGAATGGATTTGTTTCTCTTACCCACTCAGTTCCATACTATCTTAATATACCATATCTTGAAATTAAGTCCTGGGACAAATCCATCACTTTATTCAGTTAATGCCATCCCTAAGTATATACCTCGGAGAAATTAGTGCCCAAATCCAAAAGTGGACATTCGAGTAATATTAAGAGCTGCAGTTTTAGATAATAGCCTCAATCTGGAAAAAACCCAACAGTAAAATGGAAAACTATCTTCCTATATAATAAAAGGCTAATATGCAAAAAGTCAGAATGGTGGAACAACTGGAACAACCAAACATCCTGTCACTATGACGTGCACTGACCACCATGGGGGGGGGGGGGGAGAATATGCAAAACATGATGGACCTTGGCTGTGGCGGGATGGTGGAGCAGGTGAGCGGGGGCACCAGACCATGGGGCACTGGTCACTGTCATCCGGGCGAGCCTCTGGCGGTTACTGAAAATTCTTTGCTCCCGCGCACCACGATCCTACCTGGCACTCGCCCCTGCTGCCAGCGCTAGTCCCGCTTGCACCCGCAGCCAGCACCAGAGCCACCACTCGAACCTGCTGCTGGTGCCTGGCGCCAGCCCCGATCGCCCCTGAGGGCTTCTCCATCTCCCCCAGTTCCTGAGTAGCGATTGGGGCAGCAGCCGCCACTCGCACCCCAATCGTTCCATGCCATCAGCAGGTGCGAGCAGTGGGAGTGGAGCTGCCAGCGGACAGGGGACTTGGGGCTGCGGTGGGAGGGGCTGGGCAGAGGCACAGAGGATGGGCCGAGACCGCCCCTGTGCCTACTGCAGCCTCACAGCCCACAGGTCCTTTCAAGGTGCACGAATTCATGCACTGGGTCCCTAGCCTATAATAATATAAGTGTAATATGCTAATTAGACTGGACAGCTGAACGACCTTCCAGACGACGCTGAGGCTGCGTGACTGCGAGGGCTGAGGCCCTTGTAAATATTTCATGCATCAGTCCTCTAGTATTATATACAAACAATGGATTACTACATAGTAACAAAACAAAGGTAACTACAGCAACATGCAGCAACAAAGATGGTTTAACATGTATATGTAGAGCAAAAAAAGGTGAGACACAAAAGCATATGCCTTGTAAATTCCATTTCAATGACATTCAGGAAGGATAAACTAAATTATACTATCTATAGTTATATACCTAAATGGTATAAAAAAAGGTAAAGATGTGGTTACCTTAAAAGTCAGGAGACTGATTATAGCTACTGGTAAGGAAGCAGTTTATGATTGCAAAGGAACATGGAGTGGTGGCAAAGTTCTATATAGTCATCCATTTTATATCTACATGTGTCTCTATAAAAATGTTTTAGAACTGATGACGTGCCCTGGCTGAGTAGCTCAGGTGGTTAGAGCATTGACCTGATATACCAAGGTTGCGGGTTTGATTTCTGGTCAGTGCACATATAAGACCAGTGGGTACAAAAATAAGTGGAACAAGTCAAAAGTTTCTCTCTCTCTCTCCCTAAAATCAATCAATGAATAAAAGAACCAGAAAACTGATTACTTTACATTTACATACTTTCTGTATATCCTTTTTACTTTCCTAATATTGTCTAAAGTGCACTAATCAGACTTGAATATTTTCCTTTTAAGTGTGGTAGAACTCTTGCCTAGCCGGTATGGCTTACTGGTTGAGCATCGACCCATGAACCAAGAGGACACAGTTCGATTCCCAGTCAGGGCACATGCCTGGGTATAGGGCTCGATCCCCAGTGGGGATGTGCAGAAGCAGCTGATCACTGATTCTCCCTCATCATTGATGTTTCTATCTCGCCCTCTCTCTTCCTCTCTGAAATCAATAAAAATAAATTAAAAATTTGAAAACATTAAGTCTTTTAAAATTAAATCTTCCTTTTGCCTTTCCAAAAAACAAATAAAACAATAAACACTTTATTAAAACCCACTGGGGGCCTAGCTGGTTTGGCTCAGTGGATAGAGTGTCAGTCTGAGGACTGAAGGGTCCTGGGTTCGATTCCAGTCAAGGGCACATGCCTGGCTTGTGGGCTCGATCCCCAGTGGGAG